CTYCCAGTCCAGACCAGGACTCTGCTGGGTCTTGCTGCTTCACCTCTATCATCCCCTCTCTGACTTAAAGGTGGCTGTTTCCCTAACCATTATGGTCCTCTAAACCAACATCCCTAAAAGTGTCTCTAGGGCTGCCCTATGAGCAAAGCTCCCCCAAGATGGGCATGGGCAGGGAGTCCCTCTCAGGGTCCAGGACCCTGCATGTCAGGATTTCTCTTGCAGAAAAGAAATAATGGCTGAGACTGAGCTGGAAATTTTCTGGGGGAAAAAACTTGTTTGGGAAAAGGATAATTTTAAGGAGACTGAGWCTGTTCATAAATTCAAGTCAAATTTAGAGATTACTTTCAGCCTCTGGATTCTTCCATCCTCCCCTTTTCCTTCCCCCCTCCCCCRAATTATTGTTTGCAAAAATTAAAACAAAATGTTTTGGGGTTTTCATTTGTTTAAAAAGCAATTTGCATTTTGAAAATTGCCAAAATATAAGCTTTGGGAGGGTGGGGTCTTTTGAAAGGGAAGCATTGTCATTGCTGAATGAAAACCACGGCGAGGAATTCGTCCTGGGAGACACAGAGCACTGGGACGTGGGGCCCGGGGGACACAGCGGCAGCACAAAGACCACAGTTTCCAGCACACGGCCCCAGCCTGCTCTTCCATTCATCTCCCTCCTTTCCTTCTCACACGTGGAAAATTATGCCCACCTTGACCTTATTTGAGGGATTCATTAGACCAAGGTACTGGTTTTAATGTGGAGAAGATTCCATGGTGCTTTCTCCGCCCAGCTCCAAACCGCAGCTTCCCTTTTTCCCTCTCCAGCCTTCTCCAGGTTTTGGAACATCTGTGTTTAAATGAAATCTGGTTGTTCAGACCCGAGCCTGGCAGCTCAGGTAGAGATGCTCTGATGAAGCTCTGCACATCTGTGCACAATAAAGTCAGGGAACAAAAGGCTTGTGAGGTCCTTGGCAGAGTAAGGCAAAGAAGAGAGAGGGAGACAGAAGGATTGGGCTTAGTGGAGCAACTGGAGCCAAAACCTTTCATCAGAGAGCTCTTAACACCTGGCCCATGTTTTGCTCATAGCTGGGGATGCAGGGGTGCAGGGCTGTGCTCTCCACCAGGTGCAAAGCAAAATATGGGGAGTGGAGGTGATGCCAATCCTGGGAGGTGATTTTTATTACAGCCCTCAAAGGCATTCATTGAAAGAAAATATGGGTTGCTAAAAAGCCACTTGAATTCAGAAAAATTCAAACCAAGAAGCAGTGGCTGAAAATTAAAGCCAGGCCAAAGCATGTTAGGAACAAGGCAAAAGGCTTCAGCACAGCAGGGGATTAACCTCGGGCCTAGGCAGAGGGAGGGCGGGAGCTGTGTTTCCTGAGTGCCTCTGTCCAGGGAAAACGTGGCCAGTGGAGCCACATGCCCTGGGGACATGCACGGAGACAGAGCTGGGATCCAAAACCATCCCCACTGGGGATGGGGCAGGGATGTGTCCAGGCAGTGCCTGCACTCCACACCTCCAGAGGATCCCATCATGGCATGTCCCAGCCTTGTACCCACAAGGACTTGGTGACACCTGGATGGGACATTTCTTGCATTGCCCCTATTCCTGCATCCCTGTGCTATTGTCAGCAGAAAGAGGATGGGTATTTTCCTTCAGTGCCTCCATCCCTGTGYTAYTGTCAGCAGAAASAGGATGRGTATTTTCCTTCAGTCAGACCAAGCCTCYCCCACTRGGCATCTGCAAACACTACAGACAGAGCTGTCAGCTGGCCCTGGCTGGTGGCCAGGGGTGCACAGCACTGGCCACTCCAGCCCAGGCACTCAGGTGGACATAGGCACAGTAATTTCAATAAAAGCCACTCTCCCTGAGTTTAGTCCTTCTGCCTGCAGAGACAGGTGGATCAGGAAAGGTGAATGCTGGAAAATCAGCCACGTGTGTGGGGTTGGGAGGGAACCAATGCCCAGCTCTTTCTTGGTGCCTGGGAGTGAAAGGAAGAGACTGAACCAAGGCTGAGCTGGTGAAAAAGCTGAGAGCTCACAGTGAAGAGGGAGCTGTCACTCCCTGGATGATTGTGGGGAGCTCCCAGGGAGGTTGTGCTGGTCAGACCATGCCTTCTCCCAGCTCATTCACTTCCTCCCTGGAGGTATTATCCCTCAAGGCATCCACAATATTTAGGTCGTTGTCTCTGGATGAGGATAGGGATTACTGTTTTGGGGAGCTCCTTGCAGTTTCTTGTGATGTTCAGCTTCTTCCCTTCTTCAGGATTTTCATATCCCTGGAACACCAATGGAAAATTGAYCCTGGGAGCAGAGCTGGGAGTTGCTCTGCACACTCCACTTATCCCTCCACATTCTTGTGCAGCTCTGCTCTGGTGGGACCAGTGAATGTTAGCAAAGAACTCAAGAGAATCCCCAGAGTTCTTTTTTTTCCTGGCTTTGCAAAAACATTTCTGCTTATCAAGCAATCCAAAGAAATGCGAAGATTTTCACTCACTCTTCGTGTGGGYTCAGCTTTGAATTTTAAAAAGGGATTTGCCAATGCAATCTTGCAAAATACTCCAGTGCCAAGTCCAGCTCTCCTAAATACAAGTTTTAGGAGGAGGTGAGCTTTCATTCTTCTGGGAAAACATGCATTTCTGACAGATTTGAGGGAGAACTAAGGCTTCTGTGAGGTCATGCCCCTCCCTGGAGAAATATCCCCTCGTGTTGATCAACAGGGACCAAATCCTGTGTTTTGTGGCACCAAAAGCAGAGCTGCTCATGAGCCCTGAGGCTTTGAAAGATGGAACATGTGCCCATGTGGTCACAAYCTACAGCATGGATGTCCAGCCCTCAGAGTGAGGGATTTACATGTTTTTCCTCTGTTTGAGCCAAGTCCTGGGGCTGTGCCATGCATACAGGTGSTGCCTTACAGGGGGTTAGGTGTGACCAGATCATTCCCTGTGTTCCAGCCCTGGTCCATGCCCAGGGGAAGGCTCTGCCCTAAGGGTAGGAGCCATCCCTGAGTCCTGCACCTCCAGGAAAAGGTGGTGGTCACTTGGTCACTTGGTTACCTCTGTAAAACAAGGATTGGGCCTTTAAAACCCTTCCTGCTTCCCAAAAGACTTACTCGTGCATTTTGCAGGGCAGGAGTCATGTCCAAAACCCTTTTTGTGGTGGAGCCATGGTGGGGACTGGGGCTGCTCAGCACGTGTGGGTTGAGGGGAAAGCAGAGCTGAGCAGCTGCTCCAGCTGGGCACAGCAGGCTGCTCTTCCTGAGGTTTCCATGGAAGGAGAAAACCCACGAAGGGGGACCCAGAAGTGCCTGGTGCATGCTCCTGTGCCGCTTTCAGCTGCTACAAGTGTGGCTTCAGCGCATRTGGGACTGGGCCAGACCCAAACCACTCCCAGGCATTCCCTTTGGATGCAGCAGGCTCCCTGATGGCTGTGTTCTGTTTGGGAGATGACAGAGGCTCTCACAGGCTGCTGGGCTCATCCGAGGAGGCCAAACCGCGCCTCAGAGCCGTGCCCAGCTCCGTGTCAGRAGCCTCTCTCCCTCACGGCTGGCAAGGCGCTCCCGGGCGGCTCCTGTCACCATCAGCACGTTGGGGGCTCTGATGCTGCTCTGCCAGCCTCTCCTGGTGACGTGAGGTTTGGCCTCTCCACGTCAGCCGGAGGAATTCTGATGGCAGAGCACGGAGAGAGCAGCTCCGTCCTGCTGGGTGCATGGGGACAGAGGGTTCCCCTCTCCCCATCACTGCCATGGCATGTGTCAGCTGTGTATCGTTCCTGAGGAATAATCCGGAGCTGCGCTGTGATTTTCTGGGCTGAAATTCGATAATTAAGCAAATATAGCGTGGCTTTGTGTTGGGAGAGCACCATAAGGTAAACAGGAAGGAATGAGGGATTAAGATGTCTCTGCTCAGAGGGAAGGTGACAAGGCCGGAGCTGTGACACCTCCGTGCTGAGGCGAGGGGCCCAGCTGCGGGCTGGCATGGCACAGCTGCATTGTTCAGGGGTGAAGAGCAAATAAAAGCCACGGGAAAAGAAAACAAGCTATAAAATTCTCGGCAAAGCACAGAGCCCCAGCAAGTGCCTCCTGATGGCCCCTTGACAGCTCYAGGGAGAGGCGGGCGAGGAACCGAGCTTTTGAAGTCTCGGAGCAGCGCTTTGCGAAGGCCCCTGGTAAAATAGGCCCGGTGTTGACTTTAGGCTGCATATGGTGGAGGAATTGGACATCTCAGTCACAGCAATCAGGGCAGGGGGGCACTTGTGGGAATTTGGCTGACTGGGTGTGAGGCCAGGCCTGTCCCAGGCAGGATGGAGGATGCAGAGGCACAAATAAGGATGATCAGCATGGTCAGGGCTGCAGATGAGCAACAGAGCCCGTGGGGTGGAAACTGAGGGTGAAAACAGCTGGAACGGTCTTGGGATGGTATTTGGAGCTTGAACATGTATGTGTTAGAACTGGTGAGGGTGGGAAAACTGGGAAAGTSGGGGAGGTGATTGTGGAAACACTTCCCACAGGGACAGAGGGGGTTCCTGAGGTGCTGGGAAGTGGGAGTTTCACAGCAGTTTGGGGACCTTTGCTGTGAGCAGTAACAACACAAAGTGAGGGTGGATGAGAAGGGACATGAYTGGGGCTTCTGAGGTGGAAAATGTTTCTGACAAAGCAGGAGGTGCCACAGGGGGGTTGTGTGCTCTGTCCCCTAACCATGGGCTGGGCCCTGCCCTCACAGACCACCTGTGACCCACACTGCCAGCAGGGACAGGCAAAGCTGCCTTTATTGCAGTCAGGACTGCAAAATGTGGTCCTGGCAACCTCATTTTTGCCTCCAAAAAGCTGAACTCRCCTCATAGTGTAGGGCAGGAAGGGATGTGGGGCAGCAGATGGCTTCCCACAGCCAGAGGTGCCACCAGGGCCTCCCATCCCTGCCCGCCCAGTGTGACAGGGCACACACAGAGGGGGTGGCAGCAGCTCCCCTGTTTGGGCACCGATGGTGACAGTGTCCCCTCTTTGCCTCCCTCAGCCTGCAACTGCAACCTGCACGCGCGGCGCTGCCGCTTCAACATGGAGCTGTTCAAGCTGTCGGGGCGCAAGAGCGGCGGCGTCTGCCTCAACTGCCGCCACAACACGGCGGGCAGGCACTGCCACTACTGCAAGGAGGGCTTCTACCGYGACCTCAGCAAGCCCATCTCGCACCGCAAGGCCTGCAAAGGTACGTCTCCGCCATAGGGATTGGGATCAGGATCAGAGGGAGCGTCCAGCTCCTCCTTCCCCAACCCCTCCCTGCACCTCCTGTTCTTCCTCTCGCCAAACCCCTCCCGCTCCTCGCTCTCCCAAACCGGTTTGACATTGCTTTTTTTGCCATTTGGAATGACTTGTCATGCCCCCACATTCCCTGCCGTCACCTCTGCAGCCTCCTGGCGAGGACAAGGCCACCCACATTCCCTGCCATCCCCTCTCCCTGGTATCCCCGGCCTCCTGCAGAGGACGCAGCCATGGAAATACAAGTCCTCACTGCTGAGGATGACTTAAAATTATCTCAGGGTTTATCACTTACAAATTGTGCTTCATCTGCTCCTACCCGGTCATTACTCTGTAAGGGCAGAGGGCACAAATCCCAGGTATGGTGAGATGTGGAATTTAAATCATCCTCCCCCGAGCCCCGTCTCCAGCTCCCACCCTTCAGGCAGAGCTGAGCCCACGCACAGAACTTGTCACTCCTCTGGACGAGGAGGGAACAGAAAAAGGGGAAACAAGTTTATTTTGAGCTCAGAGTATTTTGAGGTTTCCTTGTGTGGCCGTGGAGGCGAACTGGGCTTCAGCTGGGGCAGGAGCAGCGAGAAGAGCAAATCCTGCAAATGAACATTTTTAACTCTCAGCTGCTGCTGGAAGAGATGGAAATCCTCATCCTGAGGAGCAGTGAAAGGAATCAAGAAAACATTCAAAAGCCAGATTAGAAAATGCTGGGGTTTCCCACAGAAATCTTCAGCKATTTTCTCTTTAAAGATTCATTTCAACAAGAAATAGAAAGCTTTCTGACTTCAGATGGGTATTTTTGGCTGGGACGTTCTGAATCTCCAGCATTTTCATTTTTTAAATTAAGATACTGCTGGTTTTATTTTCCCTACTGAAAACTGTTGGGTTTTTTTGGTTTTTTTTTTTTTTTTTTTTTTTTTTTTTTTTTGCCAAAGCAGTAGAAGAAACCCTCTTTTCAGACAGTGCTATTGCCCCTTTTTTACCTTGTAAAAACGATCTCAATGAGATATTTTGGACCCTCCCTGCACTGAATATCCCAACCAGCTTCAGCTCTAGCTGATGGTGGCGGGATGGAATCACAGCCTGGGTTCTGAGGGGAAGAGGAGCTCCTTTTTGGGTCTGAGGAGACAGAAGAAAGGGAGGGGTGTTGGGGTGCTGAGTTGCTTCCATGGACCCCCATTCCACCTGGCTGCCATGCATATCTGTGCCTTTCTTCCAGATCCCACATGGATCTATGTTGGAATAAAATCCATATTTCTGCTTAGACGGCAGAAGTTACAGCCTGAGGTTGGGGCAAACAAATGGGAATTGGGAAGGCAGGGCTGGGCATCCGTCATTCTCCATTATCAGCATCACTGATGTCCAGAGTCTAATGTTCTTTTACCTTCCTGCTCCCCCAAAAGGGGTTTGGGGTGCTCCAGGGGGAATTTCCCCCCTCCCCAAGGACCGTGAGCTCATTCCCAGGGCTTTGGTTTATCCCAGCTGCCTCTGGGGTTGTGGTAGGATTTGGGGGAGAGAGGAGATCTTTGTCAGCCATAGGGTCACTGTATCCAAAGGGCTTTCAGTCCTCTGGGATCAGCACAGGGAATCTGGAGCAGGGAGGGGATGCTCCAGGGTAGGATAGATCCCATCCCCTGCCCATCTCCAGCTTTTCCATCCTGGGCAAAGGCAGTCCCTGCGTCTTATTGATCCTGGCATTCCCACGTGCCCATTCCTGACTTTCCCAGCTCTCCTGCTGGCCAGGCAGCTGTTCCCGTCTCCTGTSTGTCCCTCCTTGCTGTCCTGGCCCTTCACTTTCACCGACAGCACCGGGTCCTGCCCAAAACCCCAGCCGGGTGGCATCTGCAGGTGCCATTCCTTCCCAGCCGTTCCGTGCCTCAGTTTCCCCGAGGGAACACCGGGAAGACATCACTGGCCTCCAGGAGGTTTTTAGGCTGAATTCCCCGCTTGCAGAATCGTTCTCTCTATTAAATCTTCTTTGCAAGTGCCCTTTTTTCTCTTCTTCCGCACTTGAAACTGGAGATGGCCCAATTTCAATGCTGCTCCAGCCCCCCGTGGTTTGTAACAAACCCGTGCCCATCGGAGCTGCCAGACACAAAGATTTGTGATAGCTGTGCTGGAGACGAGCAGCGCCCTGCTCGCAGCCCATTAGAGCGATTTCACAGCCCTCGAGGGGTTTTTGTGGGGTAAATCCACCGTCCCATACAACAGCGGAGAAACCAAGTTCCCTGCAGCACCGGCGTTCTTTTGAAAACTCCTTTTCCCGAGCTCTGTTCGTCACACAGCGGGGTTTATGTTCCCTCTATTTTTCTCTCCTGATTCGAGGCTTGTGCTGAAATAATTGTTGAAAACAGGCAGATTTAAACCCAACCCCCGCATTTAACAGCTCCAGCCATCACTCCATTGATAACAACATTCATTTACCATCTCACAAAATCAACACTCTCCCAGAGCCTCGTCTCGACTGAATGGGGTTAAAATGAAGGAATTAACCACCCTGAGCACCTGCCACCTCTCTCACCACTGCCTGCCCTCTCCTGCACCCAGCAGAACCGTATTTTCTCTGTATTTTTGCTATAAAACCTGAATCTTTCATCCATCACACCACTCTGATGATGCCCCACACGGAACACATTTAAATAAAAGCATTTCAGAGAGCTCTGGTGCCACAGGAGCTCGYGGCAAATGGGCTCTCACCCACCCCAGAGAGAGTTCTGGTGAGCTCGCAGCAAATGCTCCATGAAAGAGCTGTCAGAGCCTTTTCTTTATTAATTCAACTCCATTAATTCAGCCTAACAGACATATCCAGCTAAGCTGCCTCTCCTCTGCCTCGCATTCCTCATCTCCCACTCCATCCCATGCACGAGGTGCCTCAACTCACAACACATCAAACGTCAGCAAATAGAAGAGGCTGGAGTTGCATTGTTTTAAATGGTTGGTTTGGGTAGTTATGCAAAATGTAACATTGCAGAAATGTTTGCACAATGTCTCCTTCTTTTTAACTTGGAGAAAAAGAGGATCCCACAAACTTTTGCAGGAGTTTCAGGGCATGGGGTGAGGCTCAGGCAGAAAAAGGTGAGCAAAAAGCAGAGCTGGGCAATACCTCCTGCCCAGCGCAGGGCTGCCTGGCTTTCCAACAGCCAAACCTTTAATAATTGTTAAAGAAAAGATTTTTCTAATGAACTGAACTTCAGATCAGCAGCGCAGGTAAAGGCATGAGAAGCTGGGCTTTAAGGATAGCTTCCCCAATGGATAACAGGGACCCAGCTGTGCCAGGTGCTTTGCTCTGTGTTTSCTTCCAGTGGTTTCCTTGCAAAACCAATAAAAGCCTGGAAGTTGTCAGTGGCCAGAGATGCTCTGGGACAGAGCCATGCCAGGCAGGCCATGGCACGGAGGCTGCAAACCACAGGCAAAGGAATCGATGACAGATGGAGAAGGGATATTGCATGGAGTGGCAATGCTGGGTGTGTGCCAGGGCCTGCCAGGCTGGAGCTGGG